TCCACTGAGCCTCCTTTAGGGTCAAAAGCATCTCTTCCTGTCTCTGAAAAAGTTAGTTACCACTAGTTTGAATCCCTTATAATGACACTCATCAGGGGGGATGCTGATTCTCAAAACCAATGTCCAATATATCTCAATGCCTTCAGACCCACAGGTACAGTTGACTCCAGCTGATTCCAGGAATGTAAATAGAAATTCTGACTTTAGAAAAGATAGCATATGCTATTAAAAATCACCAAGAAATTTCAAAAAGTCCTTAGAAAATGTCATCTGAGACAATTGTAGCTTCATCATAAACACATAAAGTATCTAGAGCAAAATATGAAAGTGTAACAAATTACGAAATATAACTAAAAAGCAAGGGAAATAGAAGCAGTTTCTTAGCAATTGGCTAAAAAGAAACATCACCAGCAAAAATTCCCTGTAACAACAAATGCTGGTCTGGTTTGATCATAGTTACAGTACTATGTACATTGAAGGCCATATAGCCTTAATATTCAGATAATAACTAAGATTCAAGAATAGGGAGTCACTCACTTTTGCACATCTAGCTTACTAATTTTTCTATCAAATTAAAATAGTTCCCAAATTAAAGTATCAAACCCAAATTGTCTAACTAGTAAAAAAATGCATTAAATAAATCTTACATTTGGAGAATCTGAAAGATGAAAAAAATCTTAGAGAGTATTTTGTCCAACTCTTGCATTTTATAACTATAGAGTCAAGGGCCAAGAAGGATTTTGTGACTTGTAGAAAGCCCACCATTAGAAACAAAAATGAGAATCATTTCCATTGCCTCATGCTTCCCAAAATACACCAGCTATTATTTTGGGAAATGGATTATGTAAAACAGTAGATACGTAGAAATACACCAGCTATTATTTTGGGAAATGGATTATGTAAAACAGTAGATATGTAGAAGTTTGCAAAACTATAAACATTTCTATGTTTTAAAAATATATTATTTATGAGGGCATACATAATCCAACAAAAGTTCATACTTGGTTTGCTCTACATTTCACTTTCAATTTAAACATCAAAACAGAAGCTGATGTTAGTGGTAGCCAGGACTAATTTTTTATAACTGTATATACTGTTATTTTAAAAAAGAAGTTTTAAGGCAATTTATTTTATTTTTTTTATTATTATTTACATACAATATATTATTTGTTTCGGAGGTATAGGTCTGTGATTCATCAGTCTTACACAATTCACAGGGCTCACCATAGTACATACCTTCCCCAATGTCCATCACCCAGGCACTCCATTCCCCCACCCCTAACCCCTCCAGTAACCCTCAGTTTGTTTCCTAAGATTAAGAGTCTCTTATGGTTTGTCTCCCTCTCTGGTTTCATCTTAATTTTTTCCCTCTTTCCCCTATGATCCTCTGCCTTCTTTTTTTTTTTAATTTTATTTTATTATGTTATGTTAATCACCATATATTACATCATTAGTTTTTAATGTAGTGTTCCATGATTCATTGTTTATGTCTGCCTTGTTTCTTAAATTCCACATATCAGTGAGATCATATAATTGTCTTTCTCTGATTGACTTATTTTGCTTA